CAACATAAATCAGCACAGCCTCATGTTTTCCCTGCCCTGGTCACTTCATCTGAACCCACACTATCAAGAGTTTGTGACAACACAGTGAAGCGGTTTGGAGACCTGATCAACGTTAAAACTAACCCAACAAAACCTTAAGCTGTGACCATGTTGCAGCTCTTCTGTTGCTCTCCTCTGTCCATCTGTACTTGTCCGCTGCTTCCACTTACTTTGCGAAACTCCTGGAGAGCAGGTAGTCTCTGTCCTGCATCTCTGCAGCCCTGAGGAGTCCCTCTCATCCCCCAATCCAACCTGCTAGATTTGTGGGTCCTAGAGGGAAAAAATATAGCATGCGAGAGGATGATGCATCTAGTGTAAGAACTCGGGAATCTTAAGTTTTGATGACATGATCTCTGCATAATATATGGGAAATGAAAGGTCACTGGTAGCTGCTGACAGTATTACAGCATGCTGGGAATAAAACATCTCTACTATCAACAGCTACACTTAGCTCACTAGTTAGCTGACAGTCTGATCTCACCCAGACTGCACAACCTGGACATTCAAGCTGCAAACTGCATGCATTTTCAGCCTTTTTTTTTTTTTTAAGCAGGGAAATGGTACTGCTAGAAAATATATGGGTTGAGGGCATCAGTGCTATTGCTGAGGCAGAACAATAACAACTTCAGTCATGATTTATGTAGCTAATTTCAGGATAAAACCCTATCTATTTTAAAAAGAGGAAAAGACCACAAAATTACCCGATTTTGTATTCGACAGTGATTACAGTTTATACTGCCCAATGTTTCAACTCAGTAAGCATGCAAATAGAATATTTTATTAAAGTAACAGACAAAAGGGATCTTTTCTTCTTTATGTTCCCTCTCCATTGCAACAGATTTTATCAGGCTGCAGCCAGACACGCTACCTTCCCTCTCACCTGAAGTGCCTGTCTGGTTTTAAGAGAATTATTTCCCAAACCAAATACCCATTCCTCTCTTGTATAGGCTCTATTTCCAGTTTATTGCTCATTTGTTCTGTTTTAAGCTACCAAAATGATCTTTTGGTCATCTAAAAGCTTTCAGAGTGAAGAGCCCAGAAAAGAAACATATATATCCTCCATATTAGATGGTAATCCTGAGATTTACTTCTATAGTGGCAACTAAAGCATGGTTTTCTATGACATCTGAAGGCAACCCACTACTCTCTACTAAAGGAAAGTGCTCCATATGGAGATACACAATCTAACAACACTTCTGACCATGGCTACATCTAAATCAAAGCGTCACAGCAACTCCTTCCATGATCACTACTCATGTTTACCAACAGGTATACTGAAGCACAGAGGGTTTGACCAAGAAATCCACATAAATCCCAATTCCAATCCTTTTCAGGAAGCATCATTCAAGGCAGTTGCTTCATGTTCTCCTTCTGCTGCCAATGATGGGCAGGGACCTGCAGAGGAACTCAGCACAAAGGGGAAAGGGATGTTCTCCACAAAGGAGGAGCAGTATGATACGAATAGCAGCGAACAGTCTAGCACAGTCAACATAGTCTCATCAGGGAGAAAATCACAGCCAAAGCTGCTGGAGCAATAACCCCCATTTCACTGACTGTGCCACAGGGTTTGCAGCCTGGCCTTGCTTCAAAATCCGTCACCGCAGTCTTTCGGCTCACTCCAGCATACAAACTGGGTGCAGGTGGAAATGTTTTTTTAAAACCAAGATCTCTGGTTCAGGATTACTTACCGAGACCTGAAGCTGTGGCTACTGGACTGTGGCTACCTACGCTGCAGTACAGCTGAGGGACCCAGCTGAGGGTCAAGCTGCCATCACCCTCAGCACTGGACACGCAGAAGCGACCCCCACCCCAGGGAGCCCCTGGTTTGAGGACCGGAGGCCATTAGCAGATAGAGGCACACAGGGAACAAAAGGGCAACGAGAACACCTCAACGGGCTGCTGCATCAGCTCACGTAATTCATGCCACTTGTTGGCAGACCTCTATGGGACTTTTAAGTATCTTCCTTCCTTTTTTTCTGCAAAAGGGAGTTCTTCCAGAATTGGAGAGAGTGAGAGGAAGCACAAAGGTACCTCTCTGAATATTTTACCCATGCACAATATAGCATCACTGGCAGAGGTGAGTCAACAGTCAAGATTTTACTAACAAATGAGAAGGGATATGTAAACTGGAGACGGGTAGAAAGGACCTTAAGATAGCCATCCTATTTCTGTGGAGAATGCAAAGAGGGAACCAGCACAGAGATTCAAAGAGAAGCTGATCTAGCTGAAGCATCTGATCAGGAAAATCCACTTCAAAGAGGCATTTCTAATAGATGGAGGCAAGTTGGCAAGATGCATTTGTCAAGGGCAGAGGAAAATGTTTCATTAACCAAGGTGTGAAAGAACAAGACCTTATGAAAAGGGGTTTCAGGACCCTCAAGAGAAAACAAAAACAAGAAATGAAAATTGAAAAAAATTCATAATTTCAAAATATTAACACTGAAGAAATTTAGACTTGCAGTCAAAATTGTGCTGCTAAAGCAAGGCATGCTAGCTTGCAAGCTATTCTGCACACAGAGAAGGGGGGGGAACTGAAACACGTATGTTTAGTAATTTAATAATGGTGTATTAAATCAATTTACTTCCTCCTTTTACATCTCAAATATTAAGTACCAATACTTCCCCTCCCACAATCATTTCATCAATTGCTTATCTCATCAAGTCTTAAACTATAAACATACCTACACATATATAGCATTAAGTTTGATCAAATCAACAAGAGTATGTAGAGGAGCATACACTTCTGCCTAAATACTGTACAAAACTGCGTTGGGCATGCAATGCTAGAAGTCTTGGCTCTTTTACCATTGACTAAATCACTGAATAAGTAATTGAAACAATTTTCCAAACTGAAAATCCTCTGAGAATGCAAAAAAGCAAAGGCAGAGCCAGGACAGCTTTCTAAAATTGCCCCCTACATTGGTCACTGAATTAGTGTTTAGTGTTTTGCATTGCTCATCTTTATTCCTACTGGGGGGCAAACAGGAATGGCCAAGTCAGTGTGCCCAATCCACTTTTTTTTTTTTAATACTACTCAAGGAAACCAGCTTTGACTCTTCCTTTATGAATTTTATAGCCCACGTGACAAATCACACTATTTACAAGTTAGATTGCTTTTTCCATAGACTAAATGAAATTAGTAAACAAAACCAGCTGAAACTGAGAGAGGAGAAAAAACCTTTGTCTTCATCATAACTCATGAAACAGGACTGTTTGTCTACATGGAGTACTAAAGCAGATACTAACTCATTTCTTTGCTCTGATTTTTTTTTTTAAGGAGTTCAGAAATAGCATCTTTCAAGACCCCAGTACTTCTTTTAATTTCATACGCCATTTTTTCACATGTATTTATGGCTGAAAGATCAATTAGAACTCCTTTGTGGGAAGTCATTCCCATCCGTTCAATTACTCCATGTAATTGTTTCAGCAATCATAGTTAAATACCCATTTTAATTTTTATTTAGAGACTCAATTACCAAGCATCAAGCAGATGTAAACACTTTTAAAATTTTATCTTGTCTCCCTCCTACGCCTTCTTCCCCAGTACAAATACCATTTTAGCCCTCAGCATTCTCTAAATCATAAAAATGCACATGTAGTCATTTAAAATCTCCATATAACTCCTAGTGCTCGCTAATGCTTCTTTCCCAAACACACTTGTTGAAGATTAGCCCATCGTGGTTTGTTAGACATGGGTGTGGGGATAGAGACACTCCTATCTGCTTCCATCCCACACGCCCTACAGCTCCGAAAGCCTTCATAGATTTATTTGTGCCTTATCCCCCCTCTGCCTTTCAGGTGGAAAGGAATCCCAGTTACTGATTTATCAGGAAGAATTCTGTTTTGTGGTGTTTTTACATATCTATTTTAATCAGCAGCTGATCCATTTGGAGCTGGTGCTCTCATCTCTCCCTAGAGCCTTTCACAGATAGTCCCTTTCATTCAAATGCTGCTAGTAGGTATTGTAATTCAATTCTATTCTTGCATGTAATTCACTAAACTTCAGCGAGATGCCTGTCAAACAAGTCAATATTTTACCCTCCAACTTGAATTCATTTTTTGCAGTGTATCAAAATGCAAATTTATTTTTTCCTCCTAAGAGTCACAATCTAAGTAGAACCAGCCTGGAAATGGGAACACCCAAATGAAATGGCAGGCCAGTGGCTGCAAGAATGATCAGCGTATCTCCTCAAGTCCAGAGATAGCAAACGTCATCAGAACATCTAGTTACAAGTGCACTAAAACTCCCCGAGGAGAAAGAAAATGCAGAGTTGGTTAAACATTTATAGGTACCTCCAAGTTTCAGTTGCTGCATGCATAGCATGATACAGTTTCCTCCCAAAGCGATACCCGCTCTGCTCTCAAGTCTTTGTATTATTACCAAGAACTATTTAATCTAAGTGAATAAAAGGCTCATCGTGCCTTCCCCACTGACAACTTCAAAAAACATTAACAGCGATGCTTTGCCCAACCTAGGAAAACACGAGCCCACCCACGAGGACTGCAGTTGCAGCTATGGCAAACGTGCACAGCCACTGTTTTACAGCACACCTCAGGTAAAACCAGTTAAAATTCCCAGTATGACTTTGTAGTATTTGTAGAGCAATGCTATAAATCAGAAAGAACAACTATCACCATGTTAACACATTAACTTTGCTATGAGACTCTCAAAGCTGAGCTTTGCCTGGTTGCCTTAGTGATCTCAATAAACACCAGGCGACTTGCTTTTATCTCCAATAGAGGCACCCAAATTAAAAAGTCAGCCTGCAGGATGAAGTTGACAGTCGAATATCATGATGTCTTCTGGGTGACTGCACACTTGAAAAGTCTTACTCAGAGGCATTTTAACTGCAAAGACACCTCAGTCCTAGGCACAGCAGCCCACCTCACATCTCGGGGGGGAATAAGAAACAAAGGAAGGAAGAAACAGTATGTCTTTGCCCCAAACCCCTTTTACCTACCTGCGCAGCCAAAAGCTAGGTGATACCTAGAAGAAGGGCTGAATTTGACACAACACACATTAGCCTTGGCCTCGATGCTTGCTACTGAGTTGTCCAAGTTGGTAGACCACAGCTTCACTAGAGGAACAGAAAAAGAGAAATGAGTAAAAAAAACAGCAAAAAAAAAAAAAATCAACCTCCTCTGAAAGGCATAAAATCTAGTTATTTCATAAATAAGATTCTGAAAAGCCTCAGTTGCCAAGATGGTAGTGATTATAAAGGGTCAGTTGCTGTTGATGGCTGGTAAGCTTGAGAACATTCTCAAATGCGCACTGTAAATATTCTGCCCACCTCCATATACACAGGAGATGCTGAAAGTCCACATCCCGCATGGCTGAGAACACCAGAGCAGGTGACTAACCCCATGTTAGAATCTCAGCGTTTAAGGCTACGGGACCACAGATTCGTATAACCAAGAGCAGGAAGGCTTGCATCCTTTTTATTCCTCATCCCTTAGCTGGGACGCAAGAACCCCATGCTCCACGGCAGAATTGCTTTGCACAGAATAAATATACCTAATTGTATGCTTGAGCACAGTGAGTGAGAACAACTTGTTTTATTCTCGAGAAACTGGCACAGACAGGAAAGAAATCAGTGTGCTGGCTTCCTGTGATGATATATTTCCTTGGTACAAGGAACTCTACTGTTCTACGAGACTACCGTGTGAACATTAAGCTTCGTGGTACAGAACGAGCTCTTCCCCCAAGTACTCACTTCAGTGCTTCACAGGTCAACCAACAGAAAACACCAGCAGCTTTTCAAAACACAGCCTTCCCCACCTTCTACAAACACTTCAAGTACCATTTAACCTGAAAGATGAAGAGTGCCAGGCGCTCCCCATGTAGCCAACCTTACTATTAAAAGCTACAGATGAAACACTTTGCCCTCGGTCCAGGTCACGGGGCAGCACACTGGCATCAAGCCCCATTGATGCCTACAAGGCAGACTTAAATGTTCTCCCTTCCCCCTTTTCTTGATGAGTGGGTTGTGCTGTACTTGAGTTTCACGATCAGCATGCTGAGGCAGGAAGCAGAGCAAGCTGAAGCCGGTGTTTGAACACGCAGGAGCTGCATGAAGGCTTAATCCCCTAAAACAGCTGCCACGAGCTGCCTGGGCTTCTTCAGATCTGTGACCAATGGGTCCTCTGCTGTCTTTTTACAGAAAGCTCATTTTGGAGGTGAAGTGAGCAAAAACGGCAAAGGACAGGAATCTTGTTACCCACTGTGGTCAATAAATGAGGTAAGCGGTCTTACGGTGTGTCCCCCCACCCTCTGAGGACCCCTCTGTATCACCTCCTGGTCAGTCTTTCCCAGGCACTTCGAAGAAGCAGCAAGGCTTCCACGTGGATTACTCAAGGATGTTTTAGATGGTCAAGGAAAAGGAGGAACACTGGGAGGTGCGTTCCAGCGCACCTACTTTTTAATAGTATGGCAAGAAAAAAAAGCTACAAGATTGAGCTATTTCTGACCATACTTAGGAGAACTGCTTCAAGGATGATCAAGGATGAAGGAAATACATGACTGCTCAGAGCTCACTACGGAATCATTTCAAATACAGCACTGTGTGGGTACCTGACAGCTGCCTGGAACCATTATAAAGCAGCACACACATACACCAAAAACAAACACTGATGCATACTGTATTTGCATACAAGCATTATGTAAAATTCAATGAAAACAGCACCCACCCTGTTGTTGGTTTTCAGAAATAAAATCCATTCTCATTTACCAGAGCTATAATATTCATCCTAAACATCTAGCTACATTTCTAAATGAAACCAGGAGCTTTGCAAGCATGGCTTAAGATGCTCTCTTCTCCCAAGTGAGACTGGATGATATACCTCCTCCATCGTGTTTTGTGCTTGGGGGCAGGGAGGGGAACAGAACCGGGAAAGACAATTTTGCAAGACAATAAAACATTAGCATTTTGCTTTAATGGACAGACACCAGGACATGTATAGTCTAAGCTGCAGTGGCAGTAGAGGACATCAAGTTTATGGATGAGATGGTATAGGAAGCAAGTAATACCATGATTACAAGAGGACACTGTTGGCAGACAACATTGCTTCAACTTGAGGCGTGCGGGGAGGTTACATGATCTCACAGTTCAGAGCAATGTTCTGCCCAAACCTAGTACTAAAACCATACAGCCTTGTCTTGAAGCCTTCCAACCGGGTATCAATATTTAAAGTTGTGTCCAAAGTGGCCAAGTCTCTCCTTGACACCATCTCTAATAAATGAATGGCCATCTGGTCTCAGTTTTGTAGCAAAAGCTAATTGAGGGCTCAGTTTCAACTTTGCTCCTTTTTTCATTCAAGTTTTCAGGTCATAAGCAGAGCCATTTAATCTGGTGAAGAGTCAACCTGCGTGTTCAAAGCCATCATAATATTCGTTACAACTGACAGACGCAGATTAGAGTCTGCAATTTCTGTGATCTAACTGCTGTGGGATACGCTGGGCTCCAATTATATCTTAGTCAGTGCCATAAAAACCGATATATGCGACATATAAAAACACGTAATGAAACATGCCAAGTTTTACCTGGAACTGCCCATTATTTTTTAAAAAGAACTGACAGGTTAATAAAGCGTAATTCATAAGGGTAGAGTTTATTTGCTGTAGCTTTCAGCAATTTTTCTGAGGTCGAGGCAGTAATTATACAACATACAGATGTCTTGATAACACCTAGAATTGTGTTGATGAGATAAGCAACCATCTGAGACTGACTACTTCTAAAATACATGTTCTTAAAGCATATGTTTCCTAATTTTGCAGCTGCTGAGAGAGACATCTCTATGTGGCCAAATGTCTATCCCTCAAACAAGTAAGAAGATGCCTCCAGAAGAAGCTTTTTCGGTTTAAAACGTTTAGGTCTGTTCAAGATATTTTTTATTTGGTTAGAGCTTTACACCAAATGTGTAAGTTTATAAATTAATTTTCTATACATCAGTTCTGCGTCTAAACACTGACTAAAAGAGGCAGAAGCCTGTACTGCAATAGCTGAAGGTGTCAATGTACACAGTTGGTACACTGATAGTAAGGATATTTCGTCCAGCCTGTCATTCTTGAAACTCTTAACTGGTCGTGTGATGGAGAGGCTACTGTTACTCCGAAAAACTGTAAACCAGGAATAGGATACTGCTACCAGAAAACTCGTTTGCACAGATTTGAGGAATCCCTAGGAAAGAAGGAAGCTGCTGAATTGTCCCGCTAGGCAAAATTTTTGACCCACTGCCTTGTGCAGGTCAGGAGGAGGATGTAAACCAATGACTGTTAGCAGGCAATGAACGCAGCATATTCCTCCTTGCATAAGACACAGCCAGACAGATATTTTGGTTGGTATTTTAACTACCAACGTCTTCTTGACCTTTCAAGGTATTCCCAATTGAATCCAACAACCCTATAAATCTCCAGGAAATTATCGAACTTCTTTTAGCCAGGAAAACGAGCAAACTGAAAGTTCAAACTGATATTTTAAGAGCAATAAACACCTATACCTCCAGTGAAAGTCAGCAGAAGCTGAAGGAGTGAAGTATCATGGAAAATGAAACCCCAAACAATCCTTTGGAAGTCCTAACAAAGCTGAGGAGTAGACTGATCTGCAGTTCTCAGGCTAGTTCCCTCTCTATAAGGCCATGCTTCTTTTTTATGAAGCCAACTCTGCAAATCTGTGTTGCCCCTCTGAATTCAGGGGCACTATAAAAAAAACATAACCGTAGGACTGGTACCAATGGTCTCACTTACCAAGGCAGCACGGAAATTACTTTCCTTTGGTGTAATGAAACAGATGCTTACATTCCTCCTTGCCATGAGACAACGAAAAGTAACTTCTTGCTATGGCTCAGAGCAATCAGGTGCTCCTGTTCTGCTCCACCTCTCCATTTTGAGCAGGGAATAGTGAAGGGACTACAGCTTACAGAAAGGACATAAACCCAGGACTCTTTCTTCAGTTGAATTTGCCAGTACAGCTTGTATCTCCTTGAGCTTCAGTGAGCTTCAAAAACAACGCCAAAGCAGAGAACAAATGCTTGATCACTCCAAATCAGGTCTCTGCCCCAGTGGAGACTTAAATTCTACCCACATGACAACACAAAATATTTTGCTCTACCTCATCTGCTAACTTTACCATGGCCATTAAACTACATTCCCACTCCAGAACAGACAGGGATGTTGGCATGAGAAGCAGCTGTAAGTCATTAGCTAAGTGAACTAGCTCCAGCCCTATCCTGACACTTCGATGGCATCATTTTGCCTTCACAAAATTAAATAATCTTTTCTCCTTCAACAGCAGAAATTCACCTTTTCCTACTTACATGAGAATTGTAGCTCCTGCCATTATTATGTGCATAAGAGAACTGAAATCAAGACTGTGCCGTTTCCCCAAGCTGCTTGTAGCACAAGTAAACACTTGAATTTTGCTCGCTGCTCTCTAGTTGGTGTACACTGTCAGGTCCCTATAGACATACACAATTACCTTTGCCCCTTTAAAAGGGAAGGGCATCACAACTGTAGACAAAAGTAGTTGCTTCACACAGTAGTTGCTTCAAATACAATAATGCTTTTATGGTCTCATTATCTGCTATTAAAGTAGAAAGATCTTCCACAAATAAGCATCCGGGATTATCTTCATCTAACGAAGAGGACAATGCAGGACCCGAGACCCAAGGATGCTGTTTCTAACTGTATCAGAATCATTTTATCCCTAATAGCACTCCATTCATTAGCATCCCCTTTGCTGGGCCTGAGCCCTAGGACAGCTGTGCAGCACTGATGATACGATTTTTCATCTAAAAGCTCCTTCCCCAATACAGGCCTACCAAGCATACCAAGTGCTTTAAAAATTAGCTTCCAACTTGAAAAGACCTAGAAGAGACAAGCAGATACACAGGCAAGCGGGAAGAACTGGCAAAGCTGTCACTGTTTTGCTGGCTTGTCCTGATCACTTGACAGGAAAATGTTATACCCACGCTTTCCGGGGAAGCATGGCGAGATTAGCTCCAATCGCTCTGGTCACACCAGCATTTATCAGCATTGAGACTTCTCGTTAGAAAGCCCAGTGTGGCCTCACACAAGCAGAGAAGTAAAAGAGGACAGGAAGGGTACACAGAACTTGGATTTCCAACCAGATGCTGGACCTGGCTAAACATGTATTATATGTACCCAAAGCTGGCCAGAACTCAAACACACACTCCTGAACATGATAAGCAGAAAGACAAAAATTTAAGTTAGGCAGGTTTGGGTTAGGACAACTCATCATAGGTGTTACCTTTTCCTCACATTTAACCCTTTCAATGTGGTCACTGAAGTGGAAGGTGGACACTATAACATTAATTTGGACATTTGCTACTATTGCTCTGTACCTTAAAGACTTCTAAAATCTGTGCTTATTTCAAACACTTCCACACAGGACTCCATTTGTCTCTAACAGGCTTGTTACATATGCAAATCACAGGCAAACCATGGTAGAAGCAAAGGATAAAACGTTCCAGCCCAGTTTTATTCACCAAAACCCCAATACGCCTTCAAAAGACCTTTGTGAATTGAAATGCAAGTTATGTAGATTTGATGACTTTATTACAATAATTTCTAAGTAAACACTACGCTTTTAGAAACTATTACTGAAGTGAACTGTTAAACTAAAGACAGGAGCTCTGCTCGCAGCTGGTTTTGCAAAACTGGACACCTTGTTAACATGCTAACAAATGCATGTCTACCTGGCAGATAAGCTTTTTCAAATGCATAGGATGAGTGGGGAGCAATGTGACAAAGAGGTTGATAATTTACAAGGTGAATGTTCACTCCTGCTGCATTTAAACACACAGTAAACACTCTTGACTCCCACCAAAAACGGGAGGCAAGTATATAAAAAACATTTAAAAGCCACCTTAAATATAAAATAATCATTAAAGCTGCATTTTGTAAATGGAATTACCAGCTACATTAAGACTGCCAAATGCAATTGAGGAACACTAATACAGCCTCCTTTTGAAACAGAATTTAAACGCATTTTAGAGGGGGGAGCAGCTTGCAAGGTTTAATGTTTATGAAATATTAATTTATCATTTCAAAGCAAATCATGAAGAGCTCTGTCCAAAGCTGTATCAGCCCATCTGGGAGAGTTGATCCCCACCGACTATGAAAGGAACTCTAAAGCTCTTGCTGCTTAATAACTCTAATTTGATATTGTAAACATATTACAGATAAAATCTTGTTCATTACGGATGCAGAATACTACATATTGCTCAGTGCTATCCTTTTCTTTAGAAGTTTCCTATTTCTTCTTTGAAGAGGAACATTTTTCTACCAGTATGGTAGGAAAGGGCTTGTCTTAAGGGTTCTCTCCAAAAGCCTTTTGTCAAAAGGACCCCAGAGTGTGGAAAGCTGAGAGCTGCTCCCAGCGCTCCCAGTCCACCATCCGACTCTGTTAAGCTCCGACAAACACACCGCACATCCTGAAAGCAGGAAGCTTCTCATTGTGCACAGTCTTTAACATACAAAACTACGGCTAAAACAGCAGCAGGCATTTTTAAACTTCTGCTTTTTCACTGACAACCTCATTTTTGACATATCAATACATGCTGTTCTTTTGAAAGGCCCCAAGGCTTTAACTCAACAAGCTTAACTAATGTTAAAACACATTTTGCTTTGTTTAGTGTCCTGGAAAATGCTAGCTGGAGAGCACATTACCCAAAACCCGTGAACATCGCACCAAGAAATCTTAATCCAAACAAAGCCTGTCCTTCTCTAAGATCTCAACAGTTCAGTAATATCTTGACACATTATCACATCAACTACAATATTGAAGGCAGCTGAGGAATCAGCTACTTGAAATATCACATTTGTGTTCCTCAAGGGGAATACACAGAGTGCAAGCCTTCTGCACAGAGACTGAAAAAGAATAATACCTTTGGCATCATCAGAGCCTGAAGCCAATAGCTTTGGGTCCATCAAGTTAAAGTCAACACTCCAGCACCTTTTCTCATGCTCCTGTTTAGAGAAACAAGAAAAATATTGCAAGGTAGTGAGCTGTAATCTGATAAAATAGTAAAAGAAAACACACACGCTGTTTGGTATAAATTGTCAGGAGAGTCCTGGACAGAGACACTGACTGTGTTAGCAGTTCCTCAAAAAAATATCTTTTCTCCCAATCAGACCAATGCTTGTAGTATGCTAGACATGCCACGAAAGCAGAAGACAGCAGAACAGCAATTTTAAAAACTAAACCTCTTTTTTTTTTTACTTGAAAGAAAAAATAATGATTTCAGGAAATATACAATAAAGACCTGTGTTTGCAGCACAATTTGACTGGCCGTGGTTCCACCATGTGCTGCTTCTTATTCTAGTAGGCCACAGCTGTTATCTCCCAACACTGATCAGATGCCCGTTCAAAGCCATTTCAAACACCTCCTCTCTGAAAATCCAGGAAATTTTCACCTTCCTATTGAGTTATTAAACAAAACTTCTGGTGTCTAATCCTGTGGTTTTCCACTCAAAAGAATATTTTTACATGGCTGCACACTCTCCCCCAAAACACCGAAGAGTTGTATTTGCTCTGCTGGCACATCCCACATGGAAGCAAAACACTGCATTGAATGAAACCCAAAATTCAGTCAAACTCTTTGTTTAAAGCCTTGCAAGACAACGACATGAAAAGCTCGCCAGGATGAAGTCACTAAAGGATTTCTAATACATGCGAAGCAGATGTCAGTATGCATGCCTCTATGCAAACCCAAATAAAAAATTCAAGTAATCTGATAGGAAGCAAAATGAGTTTGTTTTAACATAAGTACCAGCTGGTCCTCTCTAGGTTCATTATTCAGCCTCATAAAGAAATGCAAAATATATTTGAGAGGAAAACAGACAAGATTTATTTTGTCCAGTATAATTTCTTTTTAATTGAGATATGCAAAGAATTAGTGAAAACAAGCATTATAAAACAGCCAAAACACATTGAAAAAGTAAACAAAGGCTTAAAGAGGAATTAAAACTTATGTTGAACTGTCAAGAAGGTGGAACTGAAGGCTAGTCTGCAGTTCATTCATTATCACTGACCAGTTTCAATGCACTATGCTACCTACACAACAGCCTGCAGCACTTCCAGCCTCTCCTCAAACACACCATCTTCTCTTCTAACCTCCTTGTTCCGATCACAAGCCATTATATAGAAACACAATGTTCAAATTGCATGAAAAGTCAAAATGCCACATCTCGCTGTTGAGCTCAGCCCACTCGCATGTGTACACTGCTCTGCTGAGCACAGGACTGTACCGGGAAGGCTTCTGCCTACTGCTCCATTCTCCAGCCTCGCCACTTCAGTCTGCATTTTGCTCTTCTGCTTTATGAGCACCTGCAGCAGCAATCACTGCAGGACTACAAAAGGCTTTTGACAAAGACTGAAGTGGAACAGGTATGGAGAAACAGATTTCTAAAGAAAGACGAGACAAACAACTTTCAATTCTTTTCTTCCTGTGCAGATTCCCTACCTGAAAGCAGCAGCAAGAAAACGTCAACTGCCTCGTGACTGTGACAAGAAGATATAGCTACCTCCCTCGAAGGACTACAGCTCAATAAAGCTGTGCCAATGAGACACATTTACCAAACAGGAGGAGCACCCATTTCACCCTGTGGAATGTAAAAGCCTATTGCTGGACTAGCAGCAGAATCTTAGACTGAATACTGCTCCCCCAATGTGGTCCACGGTGTGGGAAAGTGTTGCTCGCTGATTGCATGTTACCTGGTAGACCTTGGATCTTTGTCCTGTGAATCCATCCCAAAGGATGACGGTGCCTTCATAGTCGCTGCTGGCTAGCAGGTTCTTGTGGTAACTACTCCAGCTGATACAGCTTAAAAAGAAAAAGAGCCCTGGTCAGTCTTACATTAAAGCATACCTTACAACACAAAAATGACTCTTGCAATACATCAGGCAACTAGTGCCTTTTGCAAAGCACGCAGCATTTGATCAAGTCACCCCACTGAAACGCTCGGGGGAAAAAACAAAACCCACCAGAAATATAACAAACCTTCCTCCACAAGCTAAGAAAAAAGCTTTATTGGCTTAAGTGACATTGCCTCTCTGTGTGAAGTGCTAGGGTTTGGGTTTGTTGTTTTTTTTTAATGTATTCATCTCTAATACTGCGATGGTTTTGCTACTTGAATTCCACAAAAATTCTCACAAAGAGCTCAGGGTTTGACTTCTTAGCCTCTTGCAATAGCTATTACTATTATCATAAAGATGACTACTTACCTATCAGAAGCTATATATGTACAACACATAGCTGCATGAATGGTAAACCAACGTCTCCCCTGGCGCATATATGATGTTCTATACCTGTACCTATGTGCAAATGGAAGTTCGACTTCTGAGAAACTACTTCCAGCTTTCTATAAATGAGGAAAGACTCCTCTTCCTATCCAGAAGGAAACAGCAGTTTGTTTGTTATGGGCAGTTTAGGAGATGTTTCTGATCGAGAACTGCAACATATATTGTATGGGTTTGTATCTTAAACTGAATCAAGTAGCCATGCAAAACTAAATGACAATTCCACCGACAAATCTAACCATCAGCAGACGAAACAAGAGCAGTGACACTGCCAAGTCACATTTGTAGCGTTCTGGCACTATGCCTCCACTCTGACTCCCCAAAAATGTGACAGAGGTAAGAAAATTTGTAATACTTGTTCACCAATTTTTGGACCATCTGGCACAAAAGCACGCCAGTTGGTATCAACTGTGATGCATGTAGCAGAAGCTGAACTGACAGATCCAATTCGTGCAGGTCAAACAGCTCTGACACAGTTAACTAGATTATGGCAGCCTTGGGGCCAACATAAACTAGAAGTCCATGATTCTGTAACTTTTTAGTACTGCTTTGATCAGTGCAGCTACACATTGAAATATGATGTAGATACATGGATACTGATTCAGGAGTATTATACCTTGGCAAATTCTTTGTTCCACTATATACACGTGCAGCCTGTTTTCCTTAGGAATACAGCATTTACACACAGAAGGGGAAAAATCCTTTTCCTTTTTAAACGTAGTTAAAATACATAAACACTGTTAAAGCAGCACTGGTGTTCTGCTCCTGAGTATGGTTGAACTTACTGGGGTGTGAGTTTTGTAACCACAGAGGGACTACGCACACCAACTACTAATCATAGCTCACCACTATTTAGCTGCATGGAATCGACAAGCTTATTTGAGGTTCTGGAGCAGCCAAGTAATGGGAGGCAAGAAAGTCAACTGGTTTTTAAGACAAATTTGAAGAAATACATGAAAGGAACAACATGCTACTGGTGCTTGCATCAACAGGAAACTTTACGGAGTGATCCAAAAGACTTCCAGCTCTGACCTCCTCTGTCTGCACAAGTTAATCTGTAACTTACAGAAACGAGACAAAGTCATCCAACAGCAGCAGCTTTCTGCAAGCCTCTCGCATCACTGCATGATGCTTGGAGAAAACCTTCAGGACACGCCTTCCCCAGTGGATCACTGGGAGCTTTCTTTAGAATGGCCAGTACAGAATGATGACATTGATGACACTGTTTTCAACCTGTCAAACATGACTCCCTGTGCGCACCTGTATCGACCTATAGTCTGTTCACACACTTGCACATTTCCTTCATGTAACAGCATCCTTTGGTTTTAAAACTTTGCATTCAGAAACTTAGTAAGTTTTTTTTACCCAATATAAGTTATTATCTTTAAGCACCAGCTGCTAAGAGGATGACTGAGGTGATACAGCTCAGGCAATGCTTTCCCCGATTTCACCTATTCCACGATATGTCATTAATTAGCAAATGTTAGTGTCCTCAATCCTTGCAGGTACAAGGACTGTCCACAAATGTATCATCAAGGAGCTATCATTACACCAGCTCTACTACCTTTAGGTACCCACAGAAAAGCAGGTCTTGACAGCCTATGATTTACTAGAAGCCTCATTCAGAGTGGCTGCAGTGGCTCCCTAAGGACCAAATGAAGCTGGCAGGCACTGCCCACCGGGACTGAGGTGAAGGTTGCAGCAGTCCAGAGATAACCACGTCTGACATCTGGAGTCTTGTTCCCAGGCAGAGCAGTCAGTCACTGATGGAAGCAAAAGCGGAACAATACAGCGAGGCTCTGGGCTGGGAGCAGTCTCCAACTAATGGCAGGGGGGTAGACACTGCACCAGACATTTATCCGTTCAAACCTGTTCCCTCTGCCATCTTATCTCCATTCAAGTCAGGGCTTCAAGCAGCTTAAGGAAAAAAAAAAATACTCTAAGTTTAGCCATCACACAAAAGCAGGAAGAATACAGCCCCAGGCCAAATCTCAGAGAAGGCAGTCTTCTATCTGGACGGCTTTGAGAGTACATTGGGCAGCATCAGCAGGCGGAGAGGGTGCTGGAGAAAGGCAGACATGCTGGTGCCACCCTGGCTTTTAGAGGATGGATGCTCTATGTTAGGGGAGCACGAGATCCACATCTGACCGGCAGAAGAGCGCTGGGCACTGCGAGCTGAACTATGAAGAGGAAAATCACGTAACTGTATCTTGTCAAGAAAGAAATCACCACAGACAATGAAAACTAGGAATTTTCTGAGTAGGCAGAAAAAATATAAAGGACAGAGTTTAACAGTGCTGTTTGAGATGTGATAGATCTAAGGATATAAAAAATATCAGGTTTGTAGGCAGAGGTAATATTTTATTGAATCAATCAATATAGATGAGAAAAATGAAGGACTTCTGTGCCCAAAAGCATGTCTATTAGGTCTGGCACAGCAAAGATCAAGCTAAGCATTCTGTCCCACTGAAGTCTGATGGCATTAACAAGGGGTTAACACTCACTTGGAAAGCATTTGTAAATAGACTGAGAGGGGAAAACAGGAACTGACAGGTGAAAAATGTTTAGGGATTTGCAGCCACTAAGTGGTTCAATTAACACCTTTTAAGTCACACACACCACAAATCTTTCATTTTTAAGGAATATGATTAAGGGATCATAGTAAGACAAAAACAATCCTCTTCCAGCTCACTGCCCTGATTCTGCCCTCATCACCACCCAACTCTGTTTACAACATCTGAAACTGATATTGACATTGCAATACCTGAGCTTCTTTGTAACTTAAATCCTCAAAGCTAACCCTTGTAGAGCACAATTCAGGGTTGGATCAGGTGGCGGGGAGCTCCCTCTCCAGGTAAAGGATGCTTTTTACCAAGGACTGACGGTCCTTTGGTGGTACTCTCTGGCATCCACGATGACACAGGCCTGAAAGAAGGCTGTCCTGGAGCTGGGACATTACGATGTTTCCCTTCCATGTGGCTTCTCTAGGACCCACAAAGGTTTGAGAAGCTACTGCCATGCTCCCCTCAAGGGAGATCTCACTGATCTTTCTTCCATGCCCAACACAGGCAATTCTGTGGAAACTTCAAAGACATTTACTTTTTTGGGTTCCTCGAGATGTTATCATGGGTAACAAATTGAATAACAGACTCAAAAATGCATGGGGGAGCAAGCTGGAGAAGGGGAAAGGAAAGGGCAAAGGTGAGATGGACCAAAAATGCAGCTGACACAGTCGTCAAACAGCTTAAGCATCGAAACCCCACAAGCAGATAAAAATAGCCTTTTGTAGACAACCTTTAGATGGTCTGCAGTCATATCCAGGGAGAAACTGGAATGTGGAGGCTATGAGATATGATACAAAAAATAGCTACCTAAGGCTGAGATAATGCATAATTCAGTGCTGGATTAAAAAGGAGTTGTGCGAGGCCATCTTTTATTTTAAATACTAGTAGCTGTATTTTTTTTCAGTTTTTGCTTTGTTCTTTAATCCAGAAGCAGGGCAATAGTTACACCCCAGAGGTTTATCTTGCCTTAAGTTGTGATAGCTTTCCTTCCTAGGAGATTAGCCTGGAGAAACACTAGTTGAAAGCTAATCACCGACCTCTGAAACACTCTCCTAACCTCGGCAGTTGATCCAGACACACAGAAATCCTGACCTCGTAAAGATTTATGTGCATCCTTCATTTTATTCGGAGACACAAGTGGGCCAGCTCAGTGTGACTGACAACGCTAACCGATGTTTCTTTCATGAGCCAGTATTTTTATGGCTGAAATGTCTCAAATCCAGGATCAAGTTACCCGGTGTCAACCGCCCCTCTGGCAGTGAGAGTTAAATGGAGCTAAAGCTTTTAATAAGGCACAAACTGCTGTGGTCTGACCTGCTTCCAAGTGCCAAGTGCTTCAGATCCAGTCTATTACCATGAGTCAACCGATGCCCAGTAGTTTTAGGACTGAAAAGTTTTTAAGGGAGCGATCTATTATTGCAAGGAACATCCACGTGAATAACAACGCTAACCAAACACTTCAGAGACATACAGAATTACATTACCATTATGAATGTTTAAAAAAACCTTTTTTCTAATCAATCCAAAGAAAATCTTTAGTAGGGTTAAGAGACAAATACTTTTAAAGAAAAACTTCATCTTATTGCAAAAGTGAAGCAGTTACTCTGAAAACTGGAATTAATGAAAGCTGAAAATAATATTTCCTTATAACCTGTTCAGTGTCAAATGTTTTCTGTGTTGGAAATATAGGCATCTAACACAACCACTCGTGAGGTTTTTCAGCATAAAGAGAGCTCATACCTCTCCAACAGCCAAGACTCTACAATGAAAAACACCATACGGCAAGTTTTTGCTTAATTTAAACTTCATAGTGAGAACTGACTGCCATTTTAAAAACTGACAGCAATATGCCCATGAACTGCTATTAGGACAGAGCAATCATGCATTTGATTTATTGACACCAAAAAATGAAAACAATAAAGTACTAGCAGCCTCCTAAAAAAAGCCTACTGATGCTTTGCTTTTACTGCAGTTGACTAAACAGATGCAGCTGATTTTGGAGGTTTGTGGTAACATCTATCACTGAAGTACAGATGCTGCAAACACAGTGGTGAGCATGCAGAATACTAAACATAGATTTCAAAAGCATGTTTACCTAACCACACTTGCACATCACCTATTGTAGATTAACGAGGCCTAAAGCCAATTTCTTTCACCTGAACGCTAGATCGCCTTATTTTTCTCCCCCTGCAACCTATGGCAAAACAACAAATCTGCCTCTTGAATAAATCAGAGAAGAGCTGTGGCTCACTGCTAGCTGTTCATCCTCTCCTCGCCCTTTCCCATCTCCTCCTGCGCGGGGGGAGCCGCAGATTATTGTCTGCCACAGCTAGGGACACAGCAAGTCATAATTAGCTCACAGGGTGCTGTTTATAGCTACTAGACAATGCCAGGATTTGTTTCTTGTACTGAAGCTATGAATCTGTAAATGGGATTTTTATGAGGATTTATGTGTCATCTTGTGTTTTTCCTGGAAGCTTATGCCACTGTTGCTCCCGGGGGACGCGATGCACATTTACCAGAAAGCCGACACACCGACTTCCTCCCCGTTCTTAAAAATAGGGATGAGAAAACTCAGCAGATGATGAAAAAAAGAATGTATTTAAGAAGCAGGTGGGTGTAAAAACGGGGGTTGGAAAAGAGGAAGAAAGACTCAGCTACAGCTGGTACCAGGGCTCTGCTCCAGAAAAGCCTACAATCAATTACTGCTGGCATGAAGCTCAACCTTTCAGCAGGCGCCCAGCTGGCACGCAGCAGAGCAGGGCTGGGCTGGCGCCAGCCCCGTCCCAGGCAAGGGCTTCCCTTCCCGCAGCTGCTCCAGGCCAGCAGACTCGCTCTTGGCCAGACACGAGTCCTTGCAAATGCTGTCACCTGTCTGCTTTTATAAAAGCCCATCAGAGCTGCTGCTCCTCCAAAAGCTGAGTCACCAACGTAACCGCTAACGATTTATGTTCCAGCATCATCACTCCGAACAAGGTTAACCAGGATCAATTTTAAGGTGAGCTTCCCATGACGCGTCTTTGGAAAACCAAAGCGCCTGCGGACAGACAGCTCCGGTGCCGTGTGAGGACGGAAGGGACATTACGGGCCGTGCCAGTGTCACACGCCAGCTTGAGCAGAAGAGACATGTCACCAAATCCCATCTGCACACAGACCCCCGCATCTCTGCCAGGAAGAGAGATACCACCCATGTGCCACAGCAGAAATACGTCTGTCTTCGGTATCAGAAAGAGCACTAGCAGGTAGAGTAAGCCTCTGAAAGAAGCTGCACCTCCACCCAAATTAAGATCAACAGCTTTAAGCCAAGGCTTAAAAAAAAGCAGGCTCCACTTGTTTAGATTTTATTATAATATGGGCACATTTTCACCGTACTGCAATATTCCGTAATGAAATTACAGCCTTCATATATAACTTCTCCCTCAAGCTACACCACTTCAGAATAGCAAGTTATTATGCTGCTCGACACTGCGCCAGCGAGCCCCAGCACCAGTGACTGGCAGCACAGCTAATGGATATAGCAAAGATGCATTTGACTGACAGCCTAACTTTATTTGTCAGAACCAAAAGCACCCACACGCCAAAGGAAGGCTGATATAATGTGGAGGTGCCAATGGGAAGGAAAAAAAAAAAAAGCATTTCTTCAGAGGAATGAGAGAACCTAGGGCAAGGAAATGAAAGAAGAGGACCCCGTCCACCTCCGCTGAGGCACAGAGTGCAGAGGACAATGCATTTAGCATTGTCATATATATATGTGTGTATATATATATAATGTATATATGCAGGAAATTTAAGAAAGAGAAGAAATCTTGAATGCAAGCGATGTCTTGTCTGGAACACTAAGCTGACAAGGGTAACATCAGGTGCTAACGTGGCTCTCCTCACCGGCGGCTGCCAGAGAAGGGAGAACAAACAACTTCCTAATGCCTGGCAGGATTGTCGGGGTAGATCCCTGTCAAATTTGAAGCAGCAAGTTTGGAAGTTGTCTCAGACAGACTAAGAAATACCAAACACGCATTGCTTTTCCCCTTCTAATTAAGGTAAAAGGTATTAATCGACTGCTAGATGGTTCTCCTATTATTCTGCTCTTCTCTCCAGAATAATGAAGCTGAACGGAGTGAACTCTGCTATGACTCAGGCAAAAATGCTGAACGTTTCATTAAGTCCAGCAAAACACAAGCTCCATAATCAGTATGGCTTATCAATACAAATACCTCTCAGACTGTTTTTACCTATCTTGAAAGCCAGTCCCAGGGTCAGTTGCATTTACATCTTTTCCTTCATAAAATCGCGTTACACAATTCCCGAGAATAATCAGCATGAGTGATACAGGAGTGACTGATCTATCTTAAGAAACGTGTCAACTACAAAACTAAGCGTGACTTTTACACTATAAAGTAGGCTTGCAAACATTATTAATCTTGTTACACAACATTTTGTTTTCATGGAAGCCGGACTGTTATATAAATTTATTACTTACACTTTTGTGGGTGCTTTACTGTTTTTAAAGTGTAGAGCACCAAATAAAAACAAATGAGTTCAATGGAGATGCTGGAGACTTGTATTATAATACTGAATTGGTTTGATTGCCTGTATTATTTACTTTTGAGCTTTAACAGAATTTTTGAATTAGGATTTTTAAGTTATGTTAGCTGGATTCTTTCAATTGAAGTTCTGACATGGTGGTCTATATTTCTTTGGTTTACGTCATCTAAAAAGATAAAATAGGTTGACAGTAAAGACAGCAGCACAGAAGCAAAAAATCAAGCAAGGTCTTTTCGCAAGAGCTTGATATTACGAGGTTCAGCAAAAAAAACATAAATTCATAGGCAGAAGGTGCAAGTGAGGCACATTTCCTGAGGACTAGCAGCCTCTCAGCAGAATGGAAAGGATCTGGTCAATGAAGAGAAGAAAGCATGAAGGAATCAGTGGCTATTATGAAGAACTGGGCACAGAAGTTACCTTGAGACAAGCTAAGACTTGACCTGGAGCACATGCACTACTCCGCTTTTACTCTCCTTGTAACCAAGTAGGTATCCAACGACATTTGCAAGGAACACAAAAGCAGTTCATTACCCTACGTCCCCTTCTCCTCCAGGTATGTGGGTCTGCTATTACCTTGGATGAGCCCAGCATACACAAGTAACAGTGCTTTTGCCACCTGATCCCACCCAGAGTTCAAAGCAAGCTCTCCATCGGCTCCTGCTTTCCTCTTTTCCCCTCCCATTCCCACAATGGATAAAGAAAGCAGAACAGTTACTGCACATAAACAAGCAAATGGAAAAGGCCCTCTGAGTTCAAATGCAAAGTCAACGCCTACCTGATTTTGGAATTACAGGTCATTTCATTCTCAGGGTAGTGAATATCCACCGCGTCCTGAATGACTGTACCATATTCATAGACTTTAATCTTCTTTGTCACCCCAGCGATGGCAAAGTAGTCACAGTCTCGGTCGAACTCAATACTGAGGAACAAAAGCACAGGTTGAGAACTGCGTAATACGACACGTGTACTTACCAGCAGGGTATTTTACTACTTAAATGTCTCGGTATGGCAGAGCTGAGAATCACAATTTGCAGTTAGCAAATACCCCATTCAGAACACCTTGGTCAGGTCTGGCACACACACCAACAGCGTGAAGTTCTTGCTCTCAGGCACCATTTTCTAATCCCCTCCAAACACACCCACATCTCCATTTACTGAAACGGACTTTTTGTGGTAGCACAATCTCCCTCCCGCAGCCAGGATCTTTGTTCAGATGCTCTAGAGGTTTTCCAGTTCAGCTACACCATCTACACTGCGTGGTACCCAAACATCAAAGCTGACAGCTCACCCTGGAAATGTGCTTAACATTCAGCTGTATGCTCTACATCAACATGCTATGGGATGACTGCCCATTGATTCCTCGGTTGCATTGCTGCATCCCTTAGCTCCTATCTACAGCAGCTTGGTGAACTTTAAGTGTTAATGGAGGAGCAAACCAGTATTTGTGGAAAAAAACCCTTCTAAATTCCCTGAGTAACAACAGAGCATTGAAACATATATCATCAGTACTGTAAAAACCATGCACACAATGACTTCCACTTAGGGTTGCTCGTGGAAACCGAGGCACCTTCTTTCTTGAACTGCAGGGCAAGTTTGTAATAGATATCAACGAAGTTGGAAGTAAAAGCAGTCACCTTATAACAAAGTTAAGCTGCAAATGAGAAAAGCCTGAGGTTGTACATGAAATACATCTGAGAGAAAGGCAGGCAGCAGGTTATAAACAGCCAATGTCATTGCTACCTTCACAGCTTGGAAGGGCCAGAGAGAAATCTATTAGACACCTAGTAGCCAGGGAAGTAAACCTGCTTCCTAGAAGGAGCTCCTGCCTGCCTGCAGCCTGGCAGGCAGGGCAGGGTGGATGTGCACATACACCTACCTCCTTTCAGGAGCACCAGCCTCAGCGAGACAGAAAGTTTGCTACTCCTCCCAGAAAGGGCTTGGGGGTAGCATTTGCCCCAGGTCTCCAGGTTGGTATGGTCAGTAACCAGCTCTCCTCAAACCTCTTGACTAAGCAAGCAATCTACCACTTTGAGAGGTCTCTTTTGGGGTTCTTCCACTCAGTAATTCGTTTCAATCTCTGCTGTCCCTATCATGATTTTTTTTTAAAAGCCACAGCACTTGTGAACCAGGCAGCGAGTTCTGAATGGCAGCAGAGAAAGCCGAGTTTACACTGATAAGGTTTCACATTCATATAGCTTGAAAAATCCTGAGAGCAGGGGTATTTAAGGTACCTTTCTAAAATTAGAAAGCATTAAACCAATTACAAGAAGGAAGGGGGCTCTTTCGGCTGCCCCCATAGCTATAACAGCTTGAGTTTTCCACCCCTCAACATAGCTGAGAACTTGAAGGCACTGCAATGCTTTCAAGGGAAGATAAATTTAAATGCCAACAGAGTTTTCAAGTCCTTGTAAAGGAGATATCATCAAGTTATTTTTAAACTATGAGAGAAAGGATTGTTGATATGCAGTCTGACGGTATAAAATAATTCAATGAAACAGCTTGCAACTTGGCCTTTTAACTCAGGCACCTAAACTTCTCTGAAGCAGTAGCAGGAGATGGTCCCACTCACGACTGCTTGCCGGCTAGAGGAGAAACAAGCTAGTCGGGTCAAGCCTGCAAAATAGCAAGCCTCCAAAAGGTGAAGAAAAGGAACATGCTTACAGCTGGGGAATAAAGCAAGCAAGCATGCATCTATTTAAATAAAACACGAGAGGGAAAGAAGTCATCTAAGCAGCCAGACTGCTCTCCCCCAGACCCAGATCTACCCTAGTCTAATCACTTTTTATACAAAGAGGACGAAAGCACCATTCTGGCCTGTCTTGTCAGCTCACCCTATTCTATGGAAGAAATTTATAATCGAAAGCCTCTATAACAACACAATGGATTTACTTGTACCACAATCTTAATTGAACTGCTGTCTCAGCTCCTGCTCGCTGCCCCGTGGATTCAGGTAAAGCGCAACTAAACTGATGGCAGCGATTCATCTACTTGGATTCAATTTATACCCTTAGCCTTCTGCTGCTGAAGAAAAAAAATAATGTATTACAATGTCTGGTAAAAAGCCAAGTTATTAGAACAGAATAGAACCTCTCTCACCTGGGGTGGGTTTGCTTCTCTAGCATTAATTTATTTTTTTTTTAAAATAGAGACATGCTGTAGACATAACAAATGAGTATTTCAATATGTCTATAAAAGTTAACACATCATTAAAAAAAATTAATAAAAGCATCAACCAATGAAATTGATTGTCAGACCTGTGACCTTCAAACAGCATCAAAGACACTGCAGGGAGAAAACGGATGCAGAAATAAACCTGTACAGATGTTCGCTGGCTGTGAGAGGCAGGCAAACCCAACACAGCAAGCCTAATGCACACTTGCACCTTGGCCTCCATCATCTATGCACAGCCCCGGTACAACAAGTGTTCTCACTTTCTGCCAGTTGCTTTTTAGCAAATGATTTACAAAGAAAAATATGAACAATCTAAGTAGCTAATCAAGTGGATTATTTATCATATAAAGCTATTCCTAATATTTGCAAAACTCTGCTTCCCCCTGGACTAATCAGGATTAGGACAGACAGCTCACTTGCGCAGCAACAGTTATTTTCATGCTTTTTCCGACAAGTCTTCCAAATACACTTAGTATTAAGCAAGGCTTATTCGCATTTAACTAGCTCAGTGATATTCCTGTCACTTACTGCTTGAAGTCTTTGTTTCGATGTAAGCGCTTGCTAAGGCACAAGCTTATCTATGTGAAAATTCGCAAGAGAACTTAGTTTTGTTTTGTCAAAAGACACAACAGGGCTAGCTCTGAAAAGCAAACCAGAATGTTGTTGCAGGTGATACATTTCTACAGTCAAAGTGAATTAGTCATTAGCACAATGATAACATGCAATAGAGTAATAGGAAATACTTCATCCTTTTTGTCAAAAAGGCCATCAAGTCAAGAGATAAACCAGCTAGACAACAGCACCCACTTCACATGTGGTGAGAGGCCACAGAGCCACCAGCGAGCCAAAGCAACATATAAAACATGCGTGCAATAGCTATTAACATCCTGCTAAAATAAGAGCAATGTGTTTTAGTAGACTATTTGGTAGCGCTATTTTAAGTAGACTTAAAGTGGCACTGACAATGAACATTTTCACCGTCTAAGAGGGAGATGGAGCACCAACTGTCTCTGTGTGCTACAAACTCAGTCCTAGCATGAAGCAACCTCCTCTAGAGACGGGAGACCAGTTCAGACATTTTCATTTTTTTAAGGAAGCACTGGAGGTAAGCCATATTTTAGATCATTTGAACATCCAGTGAAGTTCCCTTTTGAACTAGCAGTGGTCCTTGCTCCTCAAAGATGTGCACTTTAGAAACAGTTAGCAATTGCTCCTTTTTTTTTCTAGCCAACTTTTAAACGCCACATTTCTGACTAACAAAGACTAGCTGAATTTTTATAAGGAATCTTTTGCGGACACAAGAACTCCTGGATATTTGAAAAATATTTATAAATGTGCAACAGAATTTACTTATAAAAATCAAATTGAAAGGAACTGATCATTTTGTTCTAGAGAAAATAGAAGAGAGACATCTCCAGTTCCCAAGTCACTGTTTTCTTCTTCCTAAGAAGTTAATGACCAGTGTCCTATGGAAATACCATTAAGAGCTGCTAGAAAGTAAACACATTCTCAAGGGTTCTGGTTGCTCTGCTGATTATCTTTATCCTCAATCTGTGAGATTATAAATCAATTGCTTTATTTAATGCTAAAACCTATGACTTTGGAGAGCACTGTAGCTAACAAATGGAATTACAAAACAAATTGCTTCTGAAACATGTCTGGAAGCTTGGCCTGGTGTGGAGGGTAGACCAGTGGGGAAACAGTAAAGCATGAGCATTTACCAGTTCTGCCAGTGTATAAAGCCTCGCTACATTCGCATCCTGACGGTGCGTACAGTTGTTCTCCACACCCCAGGAGGACGCACTGGAGTTAGAGAACACATACAGATGGGCAACTAAATTGATTAGAGGAATGGAGCAGCTGCCTTACCGTAAGGGTTATGAACAGCAAGATTGGTGTTCAACAAGTCACTCCGCACTAGAACGAGGAGGCACTCAGCAGAAGATTGATTTGGGACAGATGAGGGTTCCCCCCCTCCCAGTCACACTTTAAAAACCACACACACACACTCCAGGTACTTACTCCTGCAAGACATGATGGTGGCAGAGTGAACCTGACAACAGTAATCCAGGAACAAGTGGTCCATACCAGATATTAACTGAAATAAATACGGATAATACCCTTTAATATCCCCGATGTAATGCTTGTGGATGCTGGGAGGCTGCAAGAAGACAACTCTACAGGCAGTGACCAGGTTGGCATGCTCTGTGGTCTTCTGCACGGGGCTAGGTGCCCTCCAAACCGACCCCTGGGACAGCTCACACTGTACTTGAAATTGCAGTCTGAAATGCCTCAGGGGTCAGACTGGAGGGGCACCTAGCCCAGCGAGTTTCCGTGAGAAGTGGGTATGCGCTAAACCTACTCCTTCAAATCAGGAGAAGTGGGGGTTGCATCTAACTGCATTTGTCTTTAACTGCACCACTAGTTACAATTCAAGGTCTGCAGCCAACTGCTCCTCTCCCCTTTCTAAACACACACTCTACAGTTGCTCCTATAATCATAAATGCCTCAGCTGTGCCTTGGTAACACGATCTGTGACCGTAGGAGTTGCCATTTCCACAAAGTAGATGAGTCAGTCATCTCATGGGACTATAAATATATATATTTTTTCCTATCTGATTATACCAAAGCCTTTCAATTCTACTTCTGCCTAATATGGTGCTGTTTCTATTTCTGTACCTCTAACCCCAACTCCTATCTTGCCATGGCCCCATATTTAATTCCAACATGGATATATCGTTTTCAGTT